TCGCCTCTTCTGCACCGCCGCTGAGCGCTGGGAGGAAGTGGGTTAAAGGGTGAAACGAAGCAGAAGGGAAGGGGGAGCCTACGTTGGGAAAAGAGCAGGGCCGTGAGAGTGTGCAAGAGGTTCGGTTATTCAGGACCACCACAGGCCTGGTTGTTGGAGGGCGGCATAGGCACCCCAGGGGCTGGTAGCAACGAACTCTTCACCAAAACCGACCTGTGATGCAAAGCAGTGGGAATTGGGTTTGTTTCCTCTAGGAGGAGGAAGGCAAGGAAAGGATGGATTAACAGTTCTTAGTTTGTCTGAAAGAGGACAATAGTGGTTTTCTGTAGCTGTCGTGGGAAGGATGTGAAGAAATTGCCTGAACTTGAAGTGATGGTGACTTTCTGCTTGAAAAGGCTTTTTTAATGGTAGGGTGTCGAATAGGTGCAGCTTTTTAAGGATGGGTGCATAGGTTCTTGTTTGGGGTAATCAAAGTCAGAGGCTGCTCTCTCTTTCAGGCACTGAGCTATACCACCATATCTCCTTAATCGCAGAGCTGCAAGACACTATCTTTAGGCATTCAAGCACAGGCAGAGTCCCAGGTGAAATGATACTTGCTTTTTTAGGAGCTCAACCGTGTTGCATTTGGGTTAGATGGTGTACACATCCTTTGCTTTTCACAGCATAAAGCTCTGTCCACCTCAAGTGTCTCAGAAGCTTCTCTGCAGCTGGTGATCCCTGGGACTCAGCCTTGTTGGCCCTTTTTTAACCACTGCTTGTGGTACAACTTGTTTTGGTCATATTTGAGTGCAAGGATTTTGACTGGAGAATCTACTGAGGTCTGTTTAGTCTAATATCTCTGCCTTTTCAGAAGGTTATACTGTTAACAGGCAGGTCCTGGTAGGAGTGGCAGTTAATCCTCAGGCCTAAACTAGGTGCTGTGAAAATGCAGAACAGAAAGATATTTATCGTCTTAATCAACTTCTGGTTTTAAGGTGAGCAACAGCTGGTAAATATGAAGAAACTGAATGAGTCCCAAGGAACAGCAGTGCTCAGTAAGATAGCTGGTAACTTCTAAAGACATTTATTTTATAGGCACCATTGCTACATGGAACTTGAGAAGGGGATTTGAAGAAAGGTGATGATACAGCTTGCCGGTGCTTTGTGCTACCGTTGCTGTATTATAATGTGGTTTTGTAGGTGTCATGTAGGCATGATGTATTTTTTGCATATGTATTTGCAAACTTGTATTCCTATTATTGCAAGAAGTCTTTATTTACTTAGTAACTTGCTGAGTATTTGTTTCAGGTATAACTTGGGTGCTGGTGTACCGCACAGACAAATACAAGAGATTAAAGGCTGAAGTGGAAAAACAGAGCAAGAAATGTAAGTACTCTTCAGACACTAGAGAACGTATTGTTGCTCCTGTTACATTCTGCTTTAGCAGATGTCAGGTTGAATAGTCTGTGCTCTGAGAAATACCTGTTGCTTTTTCTGCTGAGTGACAGAACTTTCTTTAGCTTGGTTTTCATAGCAGCCTAATTTTACAAGTTGCACAAATCTGTACTGAGGGGACTTATTTCTGTACTTAATTCTTGTCTTTTGCTGGAGGCAGGGTTAGTGTGAAGACCTGTGGTATTGTCTGAATTGCCCCTCCTCTTAATGGAGGATAGAAGAGAGTAAGAGATCAGTACTGGCATCTTCTTTTCTGAACATGAGTAGCCAGTGTTTGTATATGAAGGTTCCTTTAGAAGCTTGAAATCAGCTCAGAGATGCAGTTTCTGCTTTTCAAGAGCAGTCGAGAATTTGAGAACCAGGGTTGAATAATGAATACCGTGAGAGGAAGGCATTGTATGTAAAGATTGGAAGTGGTGATTAATGGTGGAGAATGAGTAAAGACAAAGCCATGTTAGAAAGGTTTGGGCTATCAGCTGATATAAAAATAAGTTATTATAGTGTGAACTGGAAACAAATAAAAGTCTCAGGCTGCTTCTATAGAGAAGATATCTGAGAGGCCACAGAGGGGTTGAACAAAGAAGGCAGGAAGGGGCAAAAGAAGCTGAGGGTGCACAGTCAGAAGATATGCATCAGATATTAAGAGTAAAGGTAAACAGGAGGGTCTGAGCATGGAGTGTTTCAATGGACCTGCTTGTTTCAGAAGCCAAAGAGCAGAGAAGAAATTCAGCACCTACACAAGTTGCAGCACACAACAACTGTGGTCAAACGTGGGCTGGTTTTACCTTAAAAATATTTCACCATGGTTGCTGCTCTCAGTGCATGAGGGAACAATATCATCAAAGCATGCTTTTTCCAGTCTAGCTTATTCTAGCCTTCCCCTGGGCAAAATAAACCAAAGTACTGAAATATAGTCATGCTTGTGTCATAGCTCCTAAATTAGGGCCTTTTGTCATCACAGCAATCTTGGATGGGGTTTGCATCTCTGCCTGTCTCACTTTATTCTCACTTGGCTGACAAAAATGTGTAGGGTAGAATTGCACCCAGAAGAGCAAGTTAGAGAAGTAATTGAAATCCAGCTGAAAACTTTGAGTTAATGTCTTCGTGTGTTTGTGCTGTGGAACTCCAGAAGCTGTTTGCAGGGCTTGCTCTATAGGGCTTGATGATTGCTGTAAGAGTTTAATGCTCTTTGTTTTTATAGCTCTCCTGGTATCTAGGCTATAATCTGTGAAGGGAAAGATGTGAGATTCATGCATCTCAATTAGTTTCTAACATCCTTGTTTGATTTCCCTACCCCCAATAATAAATAAATTTAAAAAAAAAAAAAAGCAAAACTGAATAAAGAGTCACTAAAAATGCATAGTTTGGTTTTTTTGGTGGTTTGGTCTGTCCCGTCCCCGTCCCCCCCGCCCCGCTAGGGGCAGCTGGCTGACCTGGTTGCTTACAGGCAATGTGCAAAGTAGACTACTTGAGCCACACCTTTCAACTGTTATCTAACACATCTGAAACAGGAAAAAACACATTTGAGATCTTTAAGCTCTCCCATGAGAGTCCCAGCAGTCCTTAGGATTTGCGAAAACAAACGGGCCAAGTAGTGTGTTCGAGCAGAGGTTATTAGTTGCGATTCTTAGTTTCATCTCTTCCTGTCCCCTTGCTTCTATTTAAAGTCACAGCATTGTCTGAAACTGCTGCAGAGATCATAGTAAGCGTTCTGGGGTAAATGCAGTAAATTTGCAAGGCTGAAGGCTACCTCTAGAATTGCTGCTGTCTTGTGTATGTTCCCTGGGACAGGCTCATGAGACTGCCTGACGATTACTTGTTCTGCTTGAACCATAAGGGAATTAGGGCTGTAGAATTCCTCGGGGTTATCTAAAGTGAAGCTGTGGTGTAGAGGAGCCCTTTCATTAGGGCTGAGAATAGGTAGGCCTGAAAAGAGTCAGTGTTCTCCAGCTGGGTTTAGAGTTGGAGGACATGAGTTTATGTGGACTAGGGTTGGGACAGACTGATCAGGATTCCACAGGTGGATCTGGAACAAGGAAGGTTATGGAGAGAGTATTCTGTGAGCACTGGGTGTGCTGTGTCATCTGGCACCTCTCTCCAGCATTGTCTCTGAGCAGACCTCCCTGTTTTTTCCCCCTTGTGCTAGTCTGCCCATCAGAGATATGCTTGTTCTTTGGAAAAAACAACTGTTTTTACCATGGAAGAGGTGATTTTAGGTATCTTGTCTGGGCTACTGTTGTGACTGACTCAGGCATTTCTGAAAGCAGCACTGCACATCCTTGTGTGACTTGGAAGGCTGGCTGTCTTTATTTTACCTGTGCTTAGAAATAAACTCTAGCAGGCCTGTGCTGAGCTAGTACTCCTTATGGGAGAAGAGTCCTAGTGCTGAGGTCTCTAAGCTGATTCTGTGAGCTAACAAGGAGCCAGGTCTATTTGGTAGAATAGATATGGGACAGATAAACAGAGTAAAAAGGGGATGCTATCTATTGCTAGACCATAGTCATGCTTTATCATCCTCACATCTTGTAGTACTCTTGTAATAGCACTTAAATGAAAATGTCTCTTACTTCCTGCAAAAGCTCTTGCTGTAAGCAGAGCATTTGCAGATGAGCAGCCCATTTACTGTGTTGTACGTTCACTATTCTGGCTTTATGTTAGGCTTTTTTGCTGCACCGGTCGTCACTTGCTGATGGTTTGTGAGTGTCCGATTTATGATTTTAGTAACTTTGAGCTTAGGCTTCTGCTTTAAAATATCGGAAATGCTTCAGTACTAATTAATCGAAGAATGGAGAGACTGAGTCCAACTACTTGGACAGCATTTACCCTGAGAATGCCTTCTTGTGAAGAAGGGATGTATGAGAACACAGTCTTTCCTGTATTCTGCTTCCCACTGCAGATAATTGGGAACAGAGCTTGCCACAAAGCTCTTTTCATTAGACTTGCTGAATCAAAAGTACTGTCTAGTACTAATGACAAATCAGCAAGGGTCATTTGAGCCAAAAGTGTCTCCAGGCTGCTCAGTTAACAATGTAGTGGGCTCTTGACAGAGTTCAAAATTATCCCTTTAAATATTCTGATATCTCATCCAGCGCTTTGAAATGTTGTTATTAAGTGTTTGGTAGGGTCAGCCTTGAATGTTTATAAATTGTTGATGATGAGTATGATTTTAGTCATACCCACCTTTGTTTTGTGCCCCTGTTCTCTAAAGGAATAAAATACTTTTTTTTGGTGTGTGGAAAAGGAGTGGTGATATCCCTACACAGAAATGACAATGTATCTTTCTTTTCACATGGCAGTGGAAAAGAAGAAGGAAACAATAACTGAATCAGCAGGCCGACAGCAGAAAAAGAAAATAGGTAAGACTGGGAGAGGAGTACGGTGCCCCAAGAGTAGGGGAAAGTTGAGAAACTCATGGAAGTGATTATCCTTTCCTTCCTTTCAAAACTATTTATTTAAAGTGGTATGAAAGCTAGTTCTTGGCCTGATGACTGGAACATGAACACTTTCACCTTACTCTTTCAAGACAGGAGACATCTAGCCTTCTGATGGTGTTAGTCAAATGTGAAGAAGGGCAACATCACTGAGAGGAGCAGCATTTCTTGCTCAGCTGGTTGCCTTTCTCTCCAATTTGAGTCTTTATATCCATGATTATTACTAACTTCTGTTGTCAAAGCTCTTTGCTGCAGTGCACTGTGAGCTTGCAATAGCTACATGACTATATGAATGTGATTTTTGGATCTTTATTTTTTTTTCTCATTTGAACACTTCACAGCTGAAGGTGTTTGCATGATGATTGCAACTACACTAGATATATTGCCAGTTTGATAAATTAATTTTGCTCTATTTTAGGTAGTGATATATTTTTCCTTTTTTTTGTTTGTTTGTTTATTTGGGGTTTTTTTTGTTTGTTTGGTGGTTTGGTTTTTTTTTTTTCCCAATTGTAAGTAAATTTAAGTCTTTTTAGGTTAAGGTAACTAAGTACTGAACTACATAATAACAACATAGTAGATGTTTAGTGGCTGTGAGCTTTAGAAAGTTCTGTTATCTACAGGACTGTAACGCAAAACGTGCAGCAAAGCTCAGTTAAGTTATTACGGAAATTGTTGCAGGAACGCTTCTGAGAGCTCCTGGGAGTTGGTTTCCTCATTCCTCTGTAACTCCAGGTAGCTGGATTAGTCATTTGAACTGTACAAAGCTTGGGAATAATTATAAACATATCTTCAAACAGTTTTTCCAAGGTATAAAACCTGTTATCTTTACACTCCTGAAGGGACAGGAGCCAAAATTCTTCCTCTTCTGCATTTTCAGTTCTTAATCTTGAATAATCTCTGCATGAGATGAGTACCACTTGGTGGATATGGCAACTTTACAATGTTCTATGCTTTTCTTAGCTATGGTCACTTTTGAATGTGTGGCAATGACTTCTTTCGCAGGGCACCATCAAAGCTCTGTTCCTAGCAAAGAATATTTTACTTGTGCTTGGACTAAACTAATAAACAGAATCTGAGGAATTCAGATACTCCACCAATTTTTTTTTTCTACACTGAAATAATCTTGTTTTGCAAATGAAAAACAAAGCACAAAAGGACTAACAACAGAACTTAGGAAATGATCACTGATTCTGCTTGCTGTGATGGTGCTGGGCAAGCCTGAGATACTGAGGCTGATTTCCCCCACCCTACCCCCAAGTGCTGTATAACTTCAGTGTCTCGCTTGTTTTCAGGCAGAGCTGAGTTCTTAGTGTTTCTGAAAAATAAGGCACTAAATGTCAAGCTGGACATCCAGAAAATGACTCTTACAGCTGTTAAGTGGTTTGGAAATCTCTTGATCCCAGTAAATTACTAGATGTCAAATCGTCCTGCAAGATGTTGTAACAGCAAATTTACTTGTGCTGGAGTTCACTTGAATTTTACCATTCTAGGTGAAAAAAAAGAAAAAAAAAAAAAGGGGCTGAGGCTTTACAGCTAAGTCACAGCCATGTACAGGCCTACCTCACTTGCCATCTGTTCTGTGCACAGAATATGGCAGGAGGTGTGTGTATGATATTACTTGGTTACGTAAGGGATGAATCATGCATATGGACAAGGAGGTAGGGTGAAAATTGCATGGGAAGGCTTAATTTGGTGTTCCCTACTTATCGAACTTTTTATTTGAAGTGTAAAATGAACCAACTTCGGTCATGTTGTGCCCAAATCACCTTTCACACTGCTGGACCAGGACACCTTTAACATCATGGTGCAGCCTTCTGGCATTTCAGCTGAAGGTGTATTTATTAGCTTAAACTTTGCTACTGCTTTCTGCATCCATGTGCAGAAGAAAGGACAGTGACATTCCAGGAGTCCACGAGTGCTGGGTAGACAGCAAAACAAAAACAAATAAGCAAAATCCACCACCACCACCTCCACCACCCCCCCCAAAAAAAAAAGCTGACAAATAAGATTATTGCTGAATCCCTGTGTTGTCATTGTTTGAGTTCCATTGAGCAGGATAACAAGGCTTTGAACTCCAGGGTGCTGCTTGTTGACCCACTCTTCTTTCTTTGTGCCTCTACCCAGCTCTATAGCAAAGTACTTAAAGACTGCTTATGTATGACTTGGGCAGGATGGTGGTAAGGTGGTAGGACACCTGGAGCCTATTTGTTTAGGACTTGTAGAAATGGGTGAAAACCACATCAGGTATATTGGGAGACCATGGCTGTATTCTTTATCCCTATGTAAACTTTGACCCATCTAAATAGATGGTTAGGGGGGGGGGGGGGCGGAATACAAGTATTGTTGCCAAAAGTGATTCCTAAAGAGCTGGCCTGCGATTGCTGAAATGTCCCAGAACAAAACTCTCTACCTGGATCAGGAAGCAGGTGTCTGGAAAGTTCTTGGGAGAGTGGATGGTATGTAGTTGGGAGCAATTGAAAATAGTAATGAGGATTCTAAGAAATTGAGTAGGGTCATTTTCATAATGCTTACTGGCCATCCATGTATTTAGCAGGGGCTTAAAAGGTAACTGGACTTCTGTGCTGTGGCTCTCTTTGTCCTGTGGATCCCTGTTGAAGTTGCAGTACCACTTGCATGCTGGATAGCCCTTGACAGTCCTTCTGTATACCCTCTCTCTTTGCTCACACCATTCTTCGTTGTCCATATGCCTACTTCAGCTAGGTATTGCTTCTAAGCCCTGGCTGCCCCTCTAGATCCTCAGTTTGAGAGGAACACAGGGGACAGGGGATGATGGGAACATGGGACAAAAAAGGTGACAGATGGTAAATAATGTGCAAAGCCAGAGCAGCCCTCCACCAAGGGGCATGGAAGATGCCCTCTCAGAAAATTGGGCATCTTTGAAGTTCTGGTGACTTAAGGACAGACTAAATTTCCAAAGTAGTGTTTCAAAGTAAAACAAAGTAATACACACATTACTGAAATTCATGTAGAAAGTTATCTTTTTGGATAATCTTCTAGGTGTGATAAGGGTTGAAAATTTATTACTAAGACCAGGAGGATATTTGCATAGCTGAGGCGTGGTTCCCAGCTCTGTGTATGGTTTCCAAAGTAAAGTCCTTACTTTATATAATGTATTTATAATGGTGAGCCCAGCATGCAGTAAATTGAGACTGATCCTTTTCAGAAATGTGATATAGAGGCATTGTCTCTGTTTTCTGGCAACATTGTTCAGGCTGCTGTGTTGGTTGAGTTAGCAAATTTGACATACGGTGCATTTCTTTCAAAAGTGCTGAATGTGTGATTCTAGCCACCGCCTCCTCTTTTTGTGGCTGCTTTGCTGCATGTGTATGTGGTGGAGAAGCAGTTGGCTGTATACAATTCTTCACTTCTACTGTCTGGCACAGAAAGCTGGAGTTGGTTTTGGAAGTGTTTGTTTGGAGAGCCAGAAAGGTTAAGTCTTCCTGGAAATGAAAACACTGTTTTCTAAGTTGGTAAAATTGATTTTCTTTTTCCAGAAAGACAAGAAGAAAAACTGAAGAATAACAACAGGGACTTGTCAATGGTAAGATAATTAAAGCAAGTTCTTAACTGCTGAAGATTTCAGTGAGCTTTCTAACAGAAAGACTTTATGCAGTTGGCAGGCATAGCAGCTTGTCCTCCTGAGAAGTTCTTCTGGATTGTTTTCTAATAGCTGCAGATTTTAGTGTGAGCCACAAAGCTCTCCAGAAGTTACTTCTTCATCTCATGCCCAACCTTAGCTATGTTCACTTTTAAAAGTCTTCATGATGTTTTCAAAGTAGAATTAATTTGACTTCCTCTTTTAAGTTCTGTCTTGATAATGATCCCCTGCTGCTTGGCTGTATAGGCTTAAGGAAAAAAAACAGCCTGTGGAAGGGTACAGGACAATTCTTGAGCACTATCTCCCCCCCCCGCCGCCCCCCGAAGCAGCTCTTCACATCAGTGGTCTGCTGTGGCTGCATTTGTACCCAGCTGTTGACCAAACTTCTCCTGGGAGCTCTCCAGTCACTTTTACAGTCACTCTGGCCTTCTGGTCATATGTTTTCCTTCTGTATTCCAGTGATGCTGTGCAAAGCCTATTCTTAAGTGTGTGAGCTCATAATCCCTCAGAGTGGGCCTGTTTTGATTATTTCTGATCTTTCTGCTTGCAGGTTCGGATGAAATCCATGTTTGCCATTGGCTTCTGCTTCACTGCCTTGATGGGAATGTTTAATTCCATGTAAGTATCAACTTTCTGAATTTTTCCTCAATTTTCTGAATTTTCTTTCAATTTCTCTGCCTTCCCTCTATCACCTGAAGTGTTACACTGATAGAGTCCATCCAAGAACCATAACTAATCTGTATAAAATGGATCAGTATCTCATATGAAAATGCAGTTCTTTTGTCACCCACACACACGTTCTGCTCAACAGGGAACACTGTGTCAAACTGAACAAATTGCATTAGATCTAGACACAAGTCTTAACGTCCTTTCTGTGTGGGAACGTTTCTTTGGTAAATGTCAGGTAAGCAGCTACAGGCATCAGCTTCTTCAGCTTTGCTGTAATAGTGTGACCAAAGAATGCTATTTGCAAGCAAAACTGGGTCAGCTCCCTTGCACTTAGAAATCAGTTGTAACTGCAGAATTCATTGTTGCCCTACTTAAGGTGATCATTCTACTAACAGGTCCAGGCATGGCCTCTAACCTTCCTTTGCTTTAAAAATGACCTGGTGTGGGTCTAGTTAAAAAAAACAAAAACAAAACAAACAAAAAACCCCAAACCAACCAAACTAAACAAAAAAAACCCCCAAAAACCAAAAAAATCCCCAAGAAACAAAACCCAGAAAGCAACAACAACAACAAAAAACTCCAAAAACAAAACCGGGG